AGAATAATGTTTTGATGCAATGATGATCTCATAATTACAATCTCATTGTAATTTCCTTGCAAAGCATATTTAGTCCAAGGACTTTATTTATAAAAAGTAAGTAGTATCAACTATGTGTATACAATCTTATAGATAAAGAATGCCCTTGATAATAATAAAAATATAATATGACATGTATCCCATAGCCAATCTAATTGGTCTTAGGGTATATTACCAACATCATATGCATAAACTCAAGCAATCCACAAATAGTAGTATCAAAGTGCAAAATGGAACGATATGAAAAATTAAAAAAAATATTGATTTTCATAAAGTCCATGCATATAAATTGAATAAGGTATTACTTCAAAAGAATTATATGAGACTAATTCAAAATGTCATATTTATCAAAATGAGTGGAAACAAAATATATATGTATGGCAAATAGAAATACATTAACACAGTTGCAAGTGTAATATTGTCAAAACCCTTTAGCAGTCAAACTCTTAGTTAGTGAATCAACTAAAATGAGCTATATTGGTATGTGCCCCACAATTTAGTCTAAAAATGGATTCCATTACTTTCTCTCTAACAAGTTAAGAGGTGATATCTATATGTTTGGAGCACGAGGGACTTCTAAAATTTTGAGAGAAAGTAATTAGTGCAAATTTGTCATAATACATCTATTAGCTTAGGAATAGCAACCATAATACCTAGCCTTAAGATAAAGCATCAGGCCAAATAGTTTGACATGTAACTTCATAATATGCAACATACTCTGCCCCCATAATCAAGAACATTTTAAGTGTTTATTTCACGTGCATTTTCTAAAAACATAGTTCTCTAGCCAACATAAAATATAACTATGCTTGCTATCATTTTGATAGCATGTAAAAATCAACATCAAAATAATCAAGTAGATAAAAAAAATGTTAGATTATTGATATCTAAACATTTTTTTCTGCAGCTTCAACTCTTTATCCCAAGCTCACTGAAGTTTCTCCCAAGTACATTTATAACATAGACATCAAAATGTGTATAGACTTAAAAATATACCAAACTACCCACAATGACATTTTGACTAAAATGTGATTTTGTTATTACATTAACACATTGAGAACAATGAGATTTTGACAATATCTTACCTTTCACGACAAATGCTTTACAAGGAAAGCATCAACGCATACTAAACATACTCAACACACATTCAATGTAGTTTTTTTTAGACAAATTAGATATTCCTCTAGGTCTGTCACAAAGAATCTTGATCCCTAATATAGAATGCATCTCACTTAGATTTTGCATCTTGAAGTGACATGACAACATTCACTTTATCTCATGCACTCAATTAGTATCATTGATCGTTAACTAAATATCATCACATAAGGTACAAGAAATATGTATCTACTCCTATTGACCTTAATGTATATTTATTGATCAATAATGTTTTCCTTAAAATGACAATTTCATCAAATTTCAAATATCACAAACCAAATGTCGTTTAAGTCCACAAATAGACTTCTTGAGTTTAAAAATAGTATTTTTCATCCTATGGACCACTAACCCTCAAGTTACTCCATTTAGATGTGTCAAATTACAAAAATATGCCTAAAGGGCATTTCAATAATTTTATCCTTCCTAAAGTGCGGTTAAGATTTTTAGTGCATAAAAATCATAAGTTTCAATCCTTTGCCTTGGTAATCTTATTTAGTAGTGAAATTTAAGGGTTGACCTAAGTTCGATCTAGTTTGATTGATTCTAATTAAATTTGACTTTATTTGATTAGGTTTGACCTTGGGATATTTGGGTTAAATTAGTTCTAAATTTGATTTTGAAAACTTACTAAAGTTAAAGAAATTTTGGATTCAAATTGGGTTGGTTTTTAAAGGCCTCACAATTAATTAGATTTTGTTCAGACAAAATTAAATGTTTACACCTATGTCATGAGTACATTATTTATAATACTCCTTAAAGCATTTTGACTTTCACTAATTACAACTAGTAAAATCTTTTTAAGTCTGTTTGTTAGTATTCTGGTTACACATTTGTAGATGGCAGTACAACACGAAATAGGCCTGTAGTCTTTTATCCTACTTGGATTTGTGCTCTTTGGCACTAATGCCACATTGGCAAGCATCTTCCTTGTGTGAAAATAATACTATATACCCGTAATCACTTCATCCCTAACAATGCTCCAGGTTTGTTTGTAAAAATGTGTCGTAAATCCATCTAAAGCGAGTGTTTGTCACTGTTAATTAAAAATACACTAGTTTTTACTTCTCTCGTTACTGGCCTTATAAGTAGGGTCGTTAATTTAACCAACCCATCACCAACGGATTCCGATCCGATCCTACAGGGTTGATTTTTTTTTTCAAAATTCGAGTTTCGGGACGGGTCGGGTCGGGTCAGGTTTTAGGCATACCCGACCCAACCCAACCCGATATTATATAAAAAATTATTTTTTAATTTTTTATTTATATATTTATATAATGATATTTTTAAATATTTATATTTAAAAAATAATATTTTATTAATTTCAGATCGAATCAAGTTGGATACGATTTATATAATATCGGATCGAGATTGGGTATGAAAAAATAAAAAAAAATTCAAATAAGATCGAATTCAAGTTTGATAATACATAAAGTCGAATCGAGTTCGAGTTCGAATTCGAGATGAGCAAAACCCGTCCCGAACTCGACCTGACGACAACTCTACTTATAAGAGCCTCCCTATCCTTATCCTCACCCTGTACTGACACATGCAGCAGTTTTTCTAGCAGCTTTTGTGGACACCCTGTAACCTCCTGATTTGCCATGCCAATTATTTTTTGAAAATGTGTCACATCCTCTCTAGCAATTTGAGAGGAAATCTCCAGTCTGTTGCCCTCGTTATCTATAAGCACTCTTACCATATTCCTCTTTTGTTTTACAGCTACTATATTATGGAAAAATCTGGTATTCTGATCTCCTTTTTTTTATCAAATGCACTCTGGATTTTGTCTATAGTAACTTTCTTCAGTTTCAAGTAACACCTTGAGCTCCGCTGCTAGTTTGCTCTCCTCTTGTATCATCTCAGTACTCCTCGAGTTAGCCAATATCTGCAAATAAATTAAGTCCAGTGCCTGTCTCTTTTCTTGCATCTTCCTTGTCAGATCTCCATAACTTGGCTTATTTAGCTTCTTTAGTTCCCCTTTTAGCCTCGTTAATTTCTTGCCTATAGTTGGCATATTCCAAAAGTTCTAAACGATTTTCATGAACTCTAGATTCCTAGTCCAAAAATTAAAGAAATTAAATATCTTAGGAGATGAATGTAGTCTTCCTCAAGATTTATAAGTGCAGCATAATGATCAGACACCTCTGGGGCTAGAATTTCCACCTTGGATTGAGCATGACTAAACAGCCATGCATCATTAATGAGCACCCTTTCCAGGTTCCTCGACAAAAATCCCTCCAATTGATGATTAGTCCAAGTAAACAACAGACCAGTAGGTACATGGTCATTCAGGGCCAATTGATACGAGCAATCCTGAAACTCTTTCATTTCTAAGTTAGTAACCTAAGAGCCATTAAACTCTAAACTTTCATTTGGGTGGGCTATGACATTGAAGTCTCCTGCAAGGATCCGAGGCCAATTTGACATCGAGACACTCACTGCTTGTAAATGTGACCAATCTCCTCTTACCGTCATTCCTTCCATAAATTGCAGTCAAGAAAATTTTCTGGCATTCAAACTGAATACTGCAAGTTAATACTCTGATCCATGATCTCTATCATCTCAATTTGCACATGTGGCCTCCATACTATCCATATTCTCTCGTTGTATGCCTCTGAGTAATTATGAAGCATTCCCCAGCCATCAAAACGATTCTCCAATATGGCTTCCATTCTGTGCTGCTTGACTTCGGTTTCAATTAGACAAACTATATCTATATTTAGTCCCCTTATTCTATCCACTACGCTTTTTCTTTTAAGAGGGCAATTAAATCCACTAGTTTACTATTTTTGTTGGATTCTCTTATTTGATTTTTTGACCGTGTAATCCACTACGTCTTTTCTTTAAGAGGATAATTAAATCCACTAGTTTACTATTTTTGCTCGATTCTCTTATTTGATTTTCTGACCCTTTGTAATTGTGGATTATAGAGTTTTGCGTGCTCGTGATAATCCCCCCCCCCCCCCCCCCCCCCCCTTTTGCGTATATTGTGATGCTATTTATAGAGAGCTAGTTCCGTTCATGTTTTAGATCAACATAAAATTTTAATCTTTGCATTTGAAAAATCTTTTATCTCGTCAGTTCCAATTCCATTTTTAAAAAGGATTTGATCCAAATCTTTTTCAATTTCATACTCACGATTGGATTATTATTTTGAATTTTGGTTTCTTTCTATTCTTTATATATTTTCTACCTTTTCGATTTTTATTCATTTTCATAAATAATAATAAAAAAAACTAAAGAATTGAAAAGAAATAAAATTATATATATATATATATATAATTGCACCTTTAAGTGGGTTAACAGTACAAACTAAATCCAATTAACCCACTGGAGCTCAAAATAGTGTAGCCTAAAACCGAAAACCAATTCAAACTCAATTTATGATTGATTGGCCTGACTAGAGCTAAAGATACAACATTTTGAAAAAGTTCTATCATATCGAAATTAAAAATAATTAAGAAAATTTTTCTTGATTCCAAAATTTTATTGTGCTTGCTTATCTGCTTTCGATTCCAACTCTATTAGGAAGCGTTGGCTTATCTAGGGAGGGTTTGTTTACTCCAACCAGGCACTTAGTTGGCTTGTGAAAAAAGAAAGAAAGAAACAAACCCTCTCTAGAGAAGACAACATATGAATGTGGAATTCTGCCCAAGTAGCACAGTCATAGAGAAGGTTTATTGGTGAGCCATATTACAAATCCCCTTTGCCTCACCTAGGAGTAAACACTGTTGACATGAAGGATAAGATGAGCATTTGTCTACTGGAAACTTAAATGAAGAGAAATCTCTAAAGATCCCACTAAGTGAGTGCAAATAACGCACTAAACAGGCTAGCAGGAAACTCAGCTTAGGTTCTCCAAATCTCCCTTTTATAGGAGGAAACTTAATTTACCAATAAGTCATGCTAGATAAAATGGAGCTAGTTTGCTCTCCTAAGCCTAAAGGCCAGCATTCATATGCACAGAAAACTCTACAAGAGACAGACTGAGCAAGGAAAATTTTAAGAAACTAACAAAACTATCATCATCTAGGGTAGAGCTATGGTTTCAAACTTTTTGCAACTCATTCTATTGGCTGGAGCAATGGCCAATTCATCACATCAAATGCTAAACTGCAAGAACATTTAAGAGAAGACTGACGTTAGGACTTACAATACAAGGGGGATAGAATCTAAAAGATAATCTGTCCTCTAAATTTCACAATTATCTTATATATTTGCTTGATAGCACAAATTGAAGGAGAATATAGTGAAGCAAAAATTATCAGGGAGCATCTTTTTTTTTTTTTTTTGGGGGTTGATAGTGGTGAATGAAACATAACTTTTTATCATCCAAAAGATTTCCATTTCAGGAAGCCATCTCTTGGGAACATTTGGAGCTATGATTTGAAGCATGGTAAAGCAGTGTTCATTCCGAAGGAACAAGTTTTTTTGTAACTCAACTGAACCACATTGGAGTTAAAAAATATATAAAGAATTTGCCCTTCCTTTATTTTCCCCCAAATTGATGTATGTCGTCACTTGTCAAGCAGAATAGCAGTTAAATTTAGGGCATATAAGTGTTAAACTTACATAGTTCTTTGTTGAGTTGGACTGACATAAAGACAACAGCCTCAGAAAGCTTCTATTAATATGAATTTCTTTGAGAAGATTAAAACTACAGCCTTCCAAGACATCAAGATCCCATAGAGGACTATGATTTACCAGTAATCGCCACAAGAGCAAATTCCATCATGAAAATGATGGAACCGATTCATATCTCTGATAATAATATCCCGCTGCACAATCTTTGATATTAATTTCATTGCAGCATGGCAGTCCACACAGATACGGAGGTTCTTAATTATACGGATTTGGCTTCCAGATGATGTTCTAAACAGTGCAAAAGCCAGAGCTAACCTTTCACTGTGTACCCATAAAAGACGCTCCTTTTCTTTATTCTCTATGTCAAGCAAAACGGCATTATGGTTAGGAACAAAGCCTGCCTTCCTTGTTCTCAAATTCAACCATTCCAATATCCCATTCATAACCTTCATGTCAGGATGCGAAGTGTCTCCCACAATGAAATAATGTACACTCCCCTGGTTCTCGATCCAACTCAAACCCGGTTCCTTCTTCATTCCTTTCTTTTTCATGCTTTGCCTAATGGCAGTGACATTCTCCCACCTCCTTGCAGTAGCATACATATTCGACAATAGCACATGGGTTGCATCATCTTGGGGTTCCATGTCAAGAATGTGCTGTGCAGACAATCTTCCAAGCTCAACATTATTATGAATAACACAAGCTCCAAGCAAGGCACGCCACACCATAACACTAGGTTCAAATGGGATTTCCTCAATCAGCTTCAAAGCCTTGTAAAGATAACCTGACCTCCCTAAAAGCCAGACCATACAAGAATAATGCTCGATGCATGGCTCAATGCCATAATCCTGAAACATAGATGTAAAATAAGCTTGTCCTTGATCCAATAGTCCTGAGTTGCTACATGCTGATAGCACACCAACAAAAGTTAAAGTGTTTGGTTTAAACCCTTCGTCTTGCATCATCTGAAATATCTTTAGAGCTTCCATACCTAGCCCATGCATAGAATACCCTGAGATCATTGCATTCCAAGAAACTTCATCTCGTTCATTCATCATGTCAAATACTAAGCGGGCATCTCTGATCCTTCCACACTTGGCATACATATCAATCAAAGCATTATGAACTACAGTATTTTCAGCATAATTTGTTTTGACAGTTAAGGAGTGAATTTGAGTTCCCAGATCCAATGCTGCCAAACTGGCAGAAGCACAAAGGACACTGGAGTATGTTACTTCAGTTGCCAATACTTGGTTTTCAAGCATCTCTAAGAACAAACCCAATGCATTCTCAGAATCCCCACAGTGAATATAGCCAACAATCATAGTGTTCCAGGACACGTTATTCATATTTAGTGATTTCCCAAACAGTTCCATTGAATCCTCTATCCTTCCACACTTAGCATAGACATCCATAAGGGCATTTGATACAAACACATCTACATCAAGACCAACCTTGAGTACAAGGCCATGCATTTGCTTCCCTAAATCTAAATCCCCCATAGTTGCACAAGCTTGAAGTGCACTAGCAAATGTGAATTGATTAGGAACCACCAAAGCTTGCCTCATTCGACAAAACAGATTAATAGCCTCTTCACTCCGACCACTCTGTGCAAACCGTGAAATCATGAAACTCCAGGGAATCACATCTTTTTTAGGTATCTCCTCAAAAACCAGTTGAGCATTGACAATGTTCCCACACTTGGTGTACAATTCAAGCAATGCAACTCCTACATAAATATCATGCTCATAACGAGTTTTTAACACGCACCCATGAACACCTCTTGCTACATTAAATGCTTGAAGTCCAATACAAGCCTTAAAAACACCAGCAAAAGTAAAATTGTTTGGCTTAAAACCGACCAACCTCATTCGAGAAAAAATCTCCAATGCCTCTTCAAAAAAATGGTTCTCCGCATAACATGCTACCATTCCGGTCCAAGTAACCATATCTTTGCATCTAATCCCATCAAAAACTTCTCTTGCAAAACCAACATACCCACAAACAGAATATGCATCAATTAAAGCAGTTCCAACAAAGGCATTAGACTCATGGCCAAGCTTATAAATACAAGCATGTAAGTTCCAACCCAACTCAGCGCATTCCATACTGACAAGCACCTTCAATATGGAAGTAAAAACAAATGGGTTAAGCTCATGGCCTTCCCTATGTAACCTAGCAAACAACCCTATAGCTTCAACAAATTGCAAACACTGCACGTATCCTTGAATTAAAGTAACATAAGAAATTGTGTTTCTCTCGGGCATTTCAGCAAACAAAATTTCCGCCTCGGACAATAATTCACCTTTTACATACATATTCAAGAGAATGTTGGTAGCAAATAAGTCTAGGCAGTTACCTCTCTTTAGGATCTGACAATGAAGACCCATTGCTGAAATGGGGTCATCGTTTTGGATACAACGTTGAAGCAAGGCTCCACACGTGTGAGCTTTGGAGAGCAAACATGATTCGTTTGTGGAACTTGGATTTTTCTGGATTCGCTTTCCTGCTTGGGCTGAGAATCCGCAGAATGAAGAGCATACGAAAAGGTTGATATTTTGGTGTATAGTAGAAATATAAGAAGGTTGCAGTGCTCTACTAGTAAGCAACCTGATCATGCATGCAGCACTGCTTTGAAAGTAATGAAGGAAAAAAGTGATAAGAAACAAAGAAGCAAATGTATAAATGTAATTATGAAATTACCATCTTTCAACGGCACAAAATAATAATAATAATAATAATAATAATAATAATAATAATAAACAGAGTTTTGAATCAAAAGGACGCAAATACTCCAGTCAAATAATGTCTATAAGCTGAAGCGTAGCGTAGGATTGTGACGTAACCACAGCATTCTATTTCCTATTGAAGTTTGAAGAGAAAAAATAAATAAATTTACTCTATATTTTGTCGAAACGACGCGTTTAGAATTCTAAGCGCAAACGACGTCGCATAAGCTGTATGTCCTCGATTGGCAACTGGCAATTAGGGTTTGTGAAGCTCATTCTGCAGTTTATATAGAGTACTTATGTTCCACTGTCCTTTGAACTGTCTTTCTCTAATCTGTTTGAAATATTTCAGTCAAAGTTTCCTAAGTTTTGTTTCTTGTTTCATTTTCTATTAGTTTATTTGTTGTTTGATGGAGGGAAGCGAGGACGAGAATCTGAGCAAATGATGAAGTATATTAGTGTCTTACACTGATTCTAATCCATGATGCTTCAAAATCGAGCTTTTTAAAACTGATGCTCAGATATCCTATCGTCGCGCTAAATATTTTAAAGAGTTTTCAAACCAAAAAATTTTGTCTTGTGAAGAGAGTTGGTTTCACCAGTAATTGATAAGATCGGTCGGCCCTCTTCCTCGATTTGTTTGCCAATTTGTCGTGAAATATTTTATGCGGTTGCGAATCAAATCGGTTTTTAGTTTCCGAGAAGGATTTAAATTTCTACTAAAGTACTAAACGGCTTTTGACAGAGGAGCTTTCAAATTTCAGCCGGAGGTCTCCAGTTTTAGGCAGCCGATTACTCCAATGCGCTTGAGGGACGTTTGTGCATTTTTTTTTTCCTGTTAGGTGCATTTGGATGGACGGTTATATTAAAAGTTGGATCTGGATTTAATTGCTATCACGGTTTGGTGCAATTAAGCACTTTTTTGGTTCAATTGCACAATTTGGGCAGCAAATTTTTGGTTCGGTTGTTTTTAGCTTTGAGTCAAATTGAATTAATACATTGTAATGTTTTAACTTGACTTGAAATTTTAAAAATTGAATTTCAAACATCGATTTAAATTTATTGAATTTTATTTTTAAATTTGAATTTGATTTAAATTCATTCGATTAATCAATCATAATAAAAAAATTTATGTTAAATATATCTATTGACATTGTTCAAGCCAACAATATTTAACAAATTAAATTCCAATAACTAAATAAAAAATACTAAACAAGAGAACTTAGAATGAAATGATAGACATATATCTTTGCATATTATGTGATTAGTTTCCATTGCTATAAACAATAATAAATAAGAAAAAGCAAACTTTTAAATTAAACTAGGTTTTAACCTCAGAAGGAGTAAAATACAGTTGTATATTAGTTTAAATATTAAAAAATATATAACAAAAAAAAATTAGATTTATGTTTTTACATGGGTTTCATTAGCTCAAGTTATAGGTTATCAAAAAGGTTAAAACTATAATACATCCATAATAGGCATAAATTATGTTTATAATGAATTAAACATCCAAATTGGTATAAGCAATGGATTACTTAGATTGATTAGAGGATGAGGATTATACCAAATTGTTGCTTGTACTAAGTCCTTTATGAATGGGATAACTCCCAAAAAAACCATCAGCTGTCCTACCATGGTCGGCTGTTACTCCTTTTAATTTGTCTTGGCTACTACTCATCCCATCATCATAACCCTTGTTGTATAGATTTTGCCTCATAATGTCTTATGTAATGGAATAAGTAAAGAGTCAAAGTATAAAAATTACATAACTATCGAAAAATAATCTAATATAAAAATTTTAGAACTTATGCTATAGCAATCAGTATTCTAATATTTACTTCATTTAATCATCGTAACCTTAACAGGAAAAATGAGGAAGGGTAGGAAATCATAATGCAAATATCAATGAGCAATAACTGAATCCTACATTTTGCCCTTATCCAAATGTGTATAACGAGTTGGAGCAAATAGATAGCTTTCATTGCATTATGGCACAAGAATAATCATCTCTAAATATGACTTGTGTAAATCTCAAAAAAGTTTATCAGAAGTGTCAAACCATGAAACTAGATGATCACCAACCTAGTTACATCATTCCTACACCTAACATATGGTGAAGAGTTATCGTGAGCTGGTAAGTAGTAGGAACTATGGTGTTCCTTCCTACAAAAAGTAAAAGAAAAATCCTAAGGCCTTCTAGAAAATGACTTTGAACTAATTGGTATTTCTTAAAATACTTACACCAACTACCCAAAAACAACTAAGCTTCAAAAATGTAGAAAAGCTTGCTTCATATTTTGCAAACCACATTAACTTTTTATAGAAAACAAACTTCTAAAGAGATTAGTAATGTCATAACGTCTAGATCTGTGGACCCATCACTAGACATTAACTTAAGAAGTTGTTACCAATCTTTTGAATTTATGTGCGATTGGTCACCTAACTGAATATGTCCATTTTTAAAGAGAAATTTTAAGTTTGACTTCGATATCTTTAAAAGGTAGATTCAATGTCTACGAAACTATAACTAAGTCCGAGAGTATGGTTACATCTTAGGAAGGTTATAGCACCCCTACAACACTCATCAAATGATGATACTAGCTTAATTTCGTGTTATCCATTGAGCATTAAAAATCTTACCAGATAATTAATTATTGAAAATTATTTTTAATTGACTCCAATACTTTTGGTAAAATATTAAAAAAATTTTCTTACCTCAAGTGTATATAAGAAAACTGCTATTTCTCTTGCATGGGCTCTGTCATTAGATTATTTAACATTTAAAAAATTTATAAGGAAAAATTAATATTTTTAACTTTTTCCTATGATTTCTTTTCTTATTTTTTAAAAAAGGATTAATGCCTTTATTCAAGAAAATTTGATACTTTCAACTTTTCTTCAAAAAATTTTATGAAATTTTTATTTTCAAGAAAAATTGGTACTTTCAACTTTTCCTTAAAAAAGATTTTTTGAAAATTTTATCTTCAAGGAAAATTGATACTTTCAACTTTTTCTCCAAAAAAATTTTTTTTTTGAAATTTTCATTTTCAAGGAAAATTGATACTTTCAACTTTTCCTTAAAAATGTTTCTTGTTAAATATGTTTTTTTAATTTATTTTCTAAAAAAAATTGATACTTTCAACTTTTTCTTAAAACTCCATTTTTATTATTGAAGTTATTTAAGGAAAATTGACACTTCAACTTTTCATCAAAAATTTTTTTAAAAATTTTTATTTTTAAGAAAAATTAATTCTTTAACTTTTTTTGAAATTTTGAAATTATTTTTATTTTTAATATTATTTTTAGAACAAAGATTTACCAAAAAATAATTAAGTAAATATACAAAATAACACAAGAAAATACCAAACAAGTCTCCGCTCGACTTGGCTCAAAAAGGCTTGGCTACAAGAGTAATGAGGCTTAGTGGCTTTTTTTCTGGTAATCCAAAATGCTTAAGAATATTGATGGAATTTTTTTAGATTTTGGTGCATTATCGACGCCACAAGTCACCACCACCACCTTCATTTTTGTTTTCTGCTTTTTCCTTTCTTTAACCTTAAAATTCCAGTTAAGAATCTTGCACCTTCAAAATTTTAGTCAAGAATCCTACACTTGAAACCTTGCTCTTTGATTGCCGTTGCTCTGCTGATGTAAGTCATGACAAAATCTTGCACCTAAAACCTTACTCTATGATCATCGTTGTTCTGTCAACATGAATCATAACCATTATTACCTTCCTTACTGCTTATTATGACTGATCTTAGGTTAATGGTAGGTTGTCTATTGGGTTTTAGGTATTCTGGGTTTTGGATATTTCGTGGGTGATTGGTTTTTGGTAATGGGTATTTGGGCTATCGGTCACGCCAATTTTACTGGTAGTAGGATTAGGCAATTTGGTGGGTAGGATTAGGCAATTTGTTGGTAATGGATTTTTGACTAGTAGCTTTCTTTCTTATGTTTTCTGCTAGATTCTTTTTTGTGATTTTCTCTCTGCTTGAATATGCTGTGTTGATTATGGGAAAAGGTGGGTTATGAATTGGGGTTGTTAAAGGTTGTGTTAGAAATAACAACCATGCATGGTGGAAAGCTTAGTAGTTATGGCTAAATGATGAATTCTGTATTTTTCACTCTGTATTTTTCACTCTAATCCCTTAGGTTTTGCTTTGTATTTTTCTTTGTGTTTTTTGCTCTATCCTTTTCACTATTGAACCAAGGTTTAAATAACATGATAAAGATAGGATTTCAATTCAAAAAAATCGAGCATCCTATCCCCTATAATCTGAATTTTGAGTTTTAAAAAAAAAGCACAGGAGTTTTAAACATTTAATCTAATACTCTAAATTTCAAACATTTATCACCTTATTTATCCTTTTTTATTCTTTTTATTTATTTTTAGAATAATGATAAAAGCAAACATAGATAAATATAACAATTGACCAAGTTGATTAGGTCTAATGCCCAAATAACTCGAGACGAAATATGGTATCTATAATTGCTCCTCTTTGTACAGTTTCTATAAAACAAAAATTACACAAAGGCATAGACACCCAAAATGTCTGAGTCTAACTTCACAACAATTACGAAATTTCAAAACTTCAAAGGTTCACAATTTAAGGCATTAAAAAATTTCATAATAAAAAATTTTAGAATACAAGTTGAAACTCAAAGATTCATAGTTTGAGTTCAAAAAAATCACAATTTTTAAATTTAAAGGTTCGCAATTCAAAGATTCACAAAGTTAAAAAATTTGCAAGAATTGAGATTCATAAGAATTTCATATTCGTAAATTTTAAAGATTCGCAAGATTTTTAAGTTCGCAAAAAATGAAAATTCACAAGAATTTTAGATTCACAAGAATTTTAGATTTACAAAAATTGTAAATTTAGAAGATTTTTTTGCAAGAATTAGAGATTTGCAAGAATTTTATAATCGAAAAAATTGAAGATTTGCAAGATTTTCAAATTTGTAAGAATTGGAGATTCGCAA